AACGAAAAATATGCCGCTTCCCTCTCGCCAGCCCACAACAAACATGATTCGAAAGTGGAAAGTGGCTGACAAAAGTTTGCCAAAGGTTGCCATAGCCATAGCCTCAATTATACGAGTATGCCGCCCCACTCACCAGCTCTGGCAGCAGTTAAAGAATCCTTTGGCTGCTCCCTGTGCTCGCAACTTTTCGATAAGCATTTAATTGCAGGTGAGTTCGGTCAACACTCAGCCGGAGGGCGAAGCCTTTCCCAAATTATTGCAATGGCTTATGCAACCCGGCCAAACAATTTACAGGGCCATTAAACACATATACGCTCGTAAATATTGTATTAATAATAAGAGAAGAAAACCTCGACATTTTAATATTTGTCTGGCAAATTGCAAAAAGGATATTGCAAAGAGACAGTCAAGAGAATGTTAATAAAAATGGAACGCTGGGGGACAGCTTTTATCCAGGTTGCAAGTAAATTGTTTCCTCGAGGGTAAAGAATCACAGACGTTATTTATTAAAGCAGTCACACTAAGAAGCTTACGAGAGTAATACATATCTACGCTGACAAAGAAGCACGTAATAGCGTTGCAAGGTATCCACAAGTTGTCGTTATTCCCTAAATTGTGATAATAACTTGAAAATAAATCTGCCGATTTGTGCTCTCGATTCCTTCTTATTCATGAGAATTGGAAATAAAATAAGCAAATGAAGAATATACGAAAACAAAATGCAAATTCAAGAATGTGTTTCTCTTTTGAAATGAATTACGATTGCATTTGGGATTAATTCCCAGAATTAATTGTTACTTGAACTAGCAACACAATACCGTTTTGCAAACGTGCTGAAGGACGACACGACATAACATTGTCCTTAATCCCCCCAATTATGAATACTATGCGAGCTCGCACAAAATCGATTCGTCAATTTCCCGCTCAACAGCTTAAGTAATTAATCATTGCGGCAAATTATTTGCCACCAATTAATCAGACATAAAATGCTGGCAGAATGGCAAAGCTAGGGCTGAAGCAACAACTTGTTACTGACATAAACAAATTAAAAAACAATAAACAAATTCTGCATTGGCCCGTGGGGCGAGGGGAAATGCTAGAACCAACTGAGCTGAGAAAGGGCTCACATATTTTCTGGCTCCCTTTAATCGCATAATTGTGAGTTATCTGTGCGAGCTCACGAAGAGTAGGAGGGGGGAGGGGGGAGCAGATTATAACTTGCAGTGCACTTTTATTCCCCGGATGTCAAATTAATGTGCTCATACAGAGCAGAGGAGTACATCAAATTGTAAGGCAATCTCGAAATGGCTTCCAACTTAACATGCTAATTAACTGACGAAGCAAATCGCGACTGCCAGACAGGACTCAAAGGGAGAGTGGTTGCTCGGAGCGGAGTAGGGGGTGGGGGGTGGGTGGTGGGGGTCGTAGGTGCCTTCCTCTTTCTTGGGTTAATATGTTTTTTAGGGGAGTGCTTGGAATTATTATTGCTTGTGTTTGGGCTGCTGCCGCTGCCTCGGCTGCAAATGAAATGTTTCGTCGACTCGCTGCCAAAACAGTTCCAACTTAATGACATGCTAAGAGGCGAGCACACACACGCACACACACACACGCATACAGTCGCACACGCAGTGACACAGCAAACAAACACAGCGGACAAACAAATGAAGGAACAAACAAACACACAAACAAACAAACAAACAAACAAACATTGGCGCAATTTTGCTGCAATATCAAAAAGTTTTTCCAAGCTCTCGAGCCTCTGCCGGCGCTGTAATTTGCATTTGTAATCAAAAAGTTTCGCATAAACTTTGTTTTATGCTCATTTTCCTGCTCGAAAACTTACATACACTCGCTCAGATATAATCATGGGTGTGCGTGCCTTACACTCGTATGTGAGGGCATGCGTGTGGCAGAGTGTATGGTGTGTCTGTGTGTGTGTGTGTGTGTGGGTTTGTTGATGAAAGACGCAGGTTGTTAAGAAATTAGACGAGCAGCAGACTTTTCGTCGACGCTTTAATCTGCCGACGTTGGCTGAAATTTCCCACCAAACTTCAAAAATGTCGCACACATTTCGAAAATATTTGGCAGACAACGTCACAGCAATTTTGTTTGTCGAAATATTTGTGCAGAAATTGCATTTATTGCGGACGTGGTCGGAGCAACTTAAGCCAACTCAGCTCTTATATAAATCTATCAACATGGTTAGGTTACAGGAATAATAAATAATACCTAACCATACACTGCCAACAGATAGATAGAATGTAGCCGGAGAAAATTTAAGAAAAAGGCTCATCAGTATTTGATGAGCAAACAAACATTGCAAATGAATTGCGATTTCTCCCTTTTGTCACATATTTTGTAAATCTTAGAAAGAAAAAGTCCACTTCTTTCTCCCATCAGGCAAATTATTGGATCAATAAGTTAACAATGCCACTTCACTTAACCTAAAGCTGATATTTGTTGCTCGATTTAGGCTCATTATTCTTGAACATTTTTTACCAAATATTCCCATCACAATTGCGAATGCCAAACTGCTTATAAAGTTGTCAAGGACCGATCTGAAAAATTGGCAATACCTAACCACTTCAGGATACAAGCACACAAGCTTTAGGATTAATAGCTTTGCATCTATCTATCAAATTAATGTGCAATCTATTGAAGATATTCCTAACTAATGCTGTCCATATTTGGTGTCATCAGAAAGGAATATTTCTAAAAATGTCTATCCTTTGGGACACACTTTGCATGTATGAATGTACGTTTATTTAAAGCGCGAAAGCAAATATGCATATGCGACACATTTTCAATTGCATTTGACATTTATAATGCAATTCATCATCTCTTTGGTGGCGAAGGTGCGGGAATCTCTGACACTTCTGGCAACCACATAATCATCCATGTTTTTTCCAATGTTCCGAACGCCCCAATCAACTTAGATATTGTTGTTGTTGTCTATACCACATGGGTCTCCACTCACACATGCTCGTGCCCGAACATACAAACCGATACATGCATAGGCACGTTTGTATATGTAAATATATGTATGTACCATATAGTATGCATATATATTTGTTTTGCCATAAATTTGCATTAGAACTTCATTTGCATATTTTCCTTGGGACGCACACACACATTTGAATAAAATAACAATAGCAACAACAATTGCAACAACAGTAGTTGTAGCGCTCAAAAAAAAAACTAAATAAATAAATAAGAAGAAAAGTCCTGACTAAGGCCATGTTGAAAAGTCGAAGCACAACAATGTTGCTTATCCTTCCATTTCCATATCCTCGGGATTCTAGTTCTTTTGCTTGACGACCAAGAAGTGTGCTGCTAATTTGTCAACAAATTGTTAAATGCAACTAAGTGAGACTTCACCAACTTCGAGTCCTAGAGAAGAGTCCGTAAAATAAACAACAGTCCGATGAGAAGGGCAACAACAACTTAAGGAGACATGTGCCCCCCACACTTCCCCTTTCTGGCTTTCTTGCCCGGAGTTGTTGCAGCAGACTTGATAAATTGAATATTGAGACGAGAGCCGACAGTCGATAGTCGAGAGAGTTGCCAGCAGCAGTCAATCAAATAGAAACACCACCCCCCCCCCCCTCCCACCCATGCCCCCATTTAACAATATAGCATTGAACCCAAGGTTGAAAAAATTCAATGTCTCATTGCCTTCATAAGCGGGCGGCAACAAGTCGATGGGGCAGAGCCCAAATACTCTCGCTCAACTTTACAGCCGTCAAATTGGTAAAGTGGCACATAAAAGCGTCTTCGGATCATGTGTCTCGCCCCTCCGTCCCTCCCTCCACCCCTTCTTAGGACATCCCCATATCCCAGACCAGCCCACCCTTTCAAGTGGAGGAACAGGGTCGCAGCTGCATGCAAATTTTTGTCGCACTTCCGTTCCACACTGTCGTCGGCAAAGCCGAGAATTTTGGTTTTATGTGCGTGCCGTTTGTCATAAATTTAACAGCAAATAAATATTTGATCTCTGCAGCTGATGGAAACGTTGTGCAGTGCAGGCCAAATGCTCTCAGATTGGCTTTACGATTCCATGCTAATTTTAAGCTTTTAAATTTAATGACTCGCTGGTAATGGTGACAAGCGTCTCTCGTAATTCAAATACTATACAAAGAAAGAAACAAGCCGCCTGAATACTTACACTTATGCCGCATTGTTATGGAACGAGTGTGCTACTCTCCGAGATATATTTTTGTATTTGACGAACAGTCATTTATTTAGTTACAAATGACCCCAATGCATGACATTGAATGTGCTTTCCAAAGAACTGTTGTTAATGGTAAGGAAGTTGGAAACTTTAAAGAGTTTTAAAAATTTGAACACATATAGTACTTTTTGTAATCTCTTGGCAGCTACCAAAAGTCTGTTAACAGCTTGCCGAGAAGCTATATATTTCTTTCGCCACTTAAATCGTCAGCTACGACTGTTTGGAGGCATATTAAGCGATAAGTCTGAGCTGAATTGGACATCAAACCCGTCAGGCTTATTGTGAAACAGAAGCGTAGTTGAAAATAGCGGATGTTTAAAAAGCAACACACACTCTCTCTGCCTCAATCTTCAAAAGAATAAGCTCATTTAGACAATGATTAAGGCTTCGATATGGACCTATTCTATTAAGTATTGTGAACTAAGTCTTGTATGAAAATTGTTGAAATAAACTCAATAATAATTAATTGTAAGAGGTAATTATACAAGTAGTATTTCATTTGCATGTAAAGAATTTTCACTCTACTCTGCAGTCATGCAAATTGTTTGAAGCGCTTTACTTTATTTTCGTACTTCACTTTAATTCTCTCATGGCACGTTGCACGTGAAGATCGTGCAACTAATCTCACTCACGCTGGTGCTGTTTATGGCTCGAGTGCGGCACGCACTGATAGTCGAGCACGATTACCAGATATGGCACAAATATCTAAAACCGCTATACTATAAAGGGAGGTGCGGCTAGGCCGATCTCAACAGAGTTTCTGCAGTAAGAGTATGCGCATCATTCTGACAATCACTTTGGTGCTGTTGCTGGACAGTTGCCAGGCCCAGGACTACTGCAATGCGAAGCTCTGTCCCAACAAACGGAAGCACATTGCCTGCAAGAATAAGGGAGTTAGTTGGCGATAAACTTGAATATAGCTGCTCTGCTGATCCGCTTCTCCTTGTTTACTTCATGTAGAGCTTTGCCAGCACTTGCCCGGAGGACGCCAAACTGCTGTCCATTGATGCCGATAACCAAAACCTTTTGCTGCAACTCCACAATAACTTGCGTCACAAGCTTGCCGGTGGTTATGGCAAAGTGCGGCTGACAGCCTGCCGCATGGCCACCATGCAGTGGAGTCCGGAACTGGCGCGCTTGGCCGAACTGAATGTGAAACAATGCGAAATGGCCCACGATGGTTGTCGCGGCACAGCGCGATTCCAGTATGCCGGTCAGAACATCTACCAGGCCAGGTACTCGAGAGGCCCGTTCCCCAAAGTAGACAACCTTCTACGAACTGGCTTCCAGAACTGGGTATCGGAGGAGTCCAAAACCGAAAAGGACCAATTGAAGAGCTATCCCAGATACAACAGTGGGCCGTAAGTCCATTCCATAAGTTCTTGCAGTATTGGTACTTTTAAGATTCTAATCCATCCGGGTAGGGCAATTGGACATTTCACGGTTATTGCCAACGAGCGAAATGTGGCCGTAGGCTGTGCGTTGGCCAAATATAGAAAGGGGTCCTGGACAACTTTCCTGATGACCTGCAACTATGCAGTCACCAATATGGTGGACTATCCTGTCTACTCAGACTGCAAGAAACCTGCCACTAAATGCAAAACTGGCACAAATCCCAACTATAGTGCACTTTGTAGTGTACGCGAGAAGGTCGACTACAATTTCCAGGACTAGGTCAGAAGCTTTTTTCCTAGCCTAGCAATAAAACAAGCACTTATCCACTTCATACAGCTGTAACTATGCATGGTTTTAAATGACAGACCGGTCGACTGGGATTTCCGTTAATAGCTTAAATATCAATCGATCCTACACTTCTAATACCACAAACAACTTCTTAGAGTCTATCTTGAAAATCCATTTAATCACCAGTCCCGCAAAGGCCTTCCATTTAAATGCGGAAATCTAAATCGCCGAACATGTTTGGTTTCCACAGCAATTGCCTTTCATCTGAAGTATTGCCTGTGCCAATTTCGTGGCCGGTTAGCCACACTGTCATCGTGTGAAGCTCCACTGCCTCAGCTGTGAGATTGTGGTTGCGGGCGGCCCATTGGGCTCGTAGCTCGGGCCTCGGTTTTGGTGGTCGGCTTTGCCGGGTCCATAATTTCTGGCATTGAAGGATGCCATGAGAGGACAGACATACGGGTATGCGTTCATGCACTCGTCCAACAGAATCAATGTACATTTTAGTTAATTAAAAGACAATAAAATATGCAAGTGACATATGAAAACTGAGCACAAAGGCCCCAGCCAGCAGCCAGGAGCTAGGAGCCAGGAGCCAGCAGCGAACAGCAGGCTGAAAACCACAACCGTCAGCTCCAATCTCAGTCTCCGTCTCAGTCACAGCCTTATCCTATTGGGGGGCTGCCGTAGGCCCCTCAGTGCCTCCACAGAGTTCTGCAAATGGCAAGCAATGCAATTTTCATTTACCAAATGAAGTTTGATGTGCCAAAGTCAAAGTCAAGTATGCTAAAAAGTACGGAAACGAATTCAGACAACTGGCAGACAGGAATATTCAGCGTCAAATATGAGCATTCAGTGAAAGAAAAATATGTTTTGGTTCGAATAAAGTTTTGCAATAATAAGGATATAGGTGTTTTACCTATTCATTCCAAGTATGTTTAACTAGCTTAGCCTGTTTCAATTGAAGTACAGGATACTTGTATATATAAATACTCCATTAAAACATAGGAACGAATTTTTTAACAGTTATCAAATATTGATTTACGAGCCTATAATGCTTGAAAATTCAATATAAAGAGCCTCAACCGTTAAAGAAGAAATATGGATATTCTGTATTCAATACAAAACTATACTTCAAGATGAACGGGCATTTTGAAGAGAGCTGCTCCGGAAGTTGGGACTAATGAAGATTGCCAGCAAATAATTTGCACACGAGTTTGTCAGAAATACACAATCTCAATCATTTGCAATAAAGATTCTATAATGACAATAACGCAATAAGGCCCTATTGGCTTCAAAGCCAATTTGTGAAATGTGATGAAGTGGCGGCTTAATTATTTGTCTGTCTGACCGTAACTTTAGAACTTTTTGGGAATGAAATATGCTACACACACTCACATACATAAAAAGAAATAAGAACAGTCGTAATTTATTATTTTTGTTTTTAATTTAATTGAAATTTAAATCATTATTGTATTTGTATTTAAAAGCAGTAGCTTCCTACTTAAAACTTGAACTTTGATGGAGAAAAGAAATCGTTTATTCAACTGTCTGGCATGTGTTTTCTTGGGCATTTCAAATACAGGTGCAGATTTGTATACAGATCTAGATTTGTATCCAGATCCAGATTTGTTTCTAAAAAAAAAAGTATTCAACTGCCTGGCATGTGTTTTCTTGGGCACTTTAAATATTAAATTAAATTTAAATTTAAATATCCAGATTCAGATTTGTATACAGATCCAGATTTGTTTCTAAAAAAAAGGTATCCTTCTAATTAAAACTTGAACTTTGGCGGAGAAAAGAAATCGTTTATGCTACTGCCTGGCATGTGTTTTCTTGGGCATTTCAAATACAGGTGCAGATTTGTATACAGATCCAGATTTGTTTCTAAAAAAAAGGTATCCTTCTAATTAAAACTTGAACTTTGGTTGAGAACAGAAATCGTGAATGCAACTGCCTGGCCTGTGTTTTCTTAAGCGCTTTAAAAACGGATCCAATAAAAGAGTTGTGTCGCATGTCAAATCATATTTATTCAAAATTTTTTTTCGAGTGTAACCCATGTGGGTGCTTGCTGTGTGTGTGTGTCTGTGTGTGTGTGTGTGTGTTTGTGAGAAAGTGCGGCTTCATGCAATATGCACAAGTGCATTGGCGGCTGCGGCTGTGGCTGTGGTTTGGGCCGTGGCACAAAGTGCAGCTGCATAAAGCCACCTCTCCCCAGCTCTCTTTCCCCACCCCTCTCTCTCTCTCTCTCTCTCTCTCTCTATCTTGCTCTCTCAGTCGCATCTACCATTCTGGATCTTTTGCCGGGGTTCTGGGGCATCGACACGAACGTCGGCATTGGCCTCGGCTAACCGCAGGCAACTTAATTAATCGCATTTTCGCTGCCCTGCCCCCAAGATGGCGAGACGGGGGGCAGTTTAATTTATTTATTATTTTTTTACAGCATGCAGCAGCAACTTCATCATCAACAACAACAACAACAGCAAGATCCGATACGCAGCATGCGGCTCTTTAAAGTGCAATCATTTTCAAGCGCTACTTACACGCCCCTTTAATTTTATTACAATTTGCTGTCGCATGTGACAGCTGGTGGTTGTTGTTGTTGCTGTTGTTTTGCTCTTGTTAGCGGAGGCCTTAACAGGCAGAAAGCTTTTAAGAGTCAGCTGGCATCTCGCTAGCTGTGGCTGCCATGTGGTGCTCATGGCTTATTGTTGTTGTTGCTGTTGTTGTTGTTGTTGTTTGATGGGTCGACCATTTTTAATGTTAAAGTGGCGAACATTTTAATGCCGGCCATTTGAAGGGGCGACCAACTTTAGCGAACCTGCACTTAAACAATCTTTAATACACAATACGCAGCACACACCATAAGCTCATTCATTCATTTATTCAATCATTTATTCATTCATTCATTCATTCAATCATTCATTCATTCAGTCGCAGTGGGACCGACACATACAAAAATGTTGCCAATTATGCAAGGGGCTGCAAAAAAAAAATATAAATACGATATGACAGAAATGGCCAAAAGTTTTCGATACGTAGCACAACCACCCGAAATGAAAAAGGGAGCGAGAAAACCTTAACAAAACCTCAACCATGCGCGACCCTTGTCTGTGGTGAACAACAGCAGCAATAACAACAACAGCAACAACACCAACAACGGCAAAAAAGGCAACAACATTGACAGGCCAACAAAGCAAAAAGGCATAAATATTGTTCTTTCATTTTTGGCATTTTTTTCTCATATTTTTTTCCTCTTCATTTCGACTCGGCCTGTTACCAAAATAAATATGGGGAAAAAAAACAATACAAATAAAAAAATAAATAAATAATATAAAAAACTGCCCCTGCCTCTGCGCCACGAAAAAGAAGTCTGGGACGGGAAACCCCACACGCACATATATTTCTTTTATTGCGAGAGACAGCTTAATATATTTGCATAAATTTAAGTGTCTATTAATGTTTTTGTTAAACGGCACAAATATAGAAAATTTAATCAATTTTTGCCGCCTTCTCCCCAAATGCCACACCAGCCACAGGCCAGCAGCCGTAAGACTTCAATAAAATAATGTGCAAATACTAAAGTTTAGTTTAGTTTTCGGATTCGAGTATATACAAGTATGCACATACTTGTATATTCGATATAAATCGTATGTGATAGGAACAGATCTATGCGGTAATTGATTTAATTATTTTTAAGATTTTTTATGTACAAAATAGTTCTCTTGAACATCCAGTAGTATTATATACAGACAAAAGTACAAAGTATATGTATTTGCAGTTATCCTTCAGACAGCTTTTAATGTGTCTGCTATGGATTAGATTAACATTTATGGTTATGCTGGTAATTGGCGCACACACACAAACACACACACACACACACACACACACCGGCATTCAAATTAAACGTCTGAATGCATTTTTCTAGCCGTAACCGCTGAACACCGACATCGTCGCCTCAAACCAACTAGGCCAAGCGAAAACTCCTTTTCGACAGCAGTGCCGAGAAGCAGTTGCGCCCAAAGCAAAGAGTTAACCATTTGGAAACATTTTAATAACTACTTTGTATTCACATACCATTTTGTTCATGAACCGGCGAATCTGTAGCAAGTTTACCGCCGCACAACCTACTTTTTCATTGCGGTCGGAAATCGACACAAAACGTTCCGTTTTCTGCCTCGTCTTCAATGAATTACTCGTAAGCGAAAGCAAAAGTTCCAAGTCCCCATCTCCATCTACAGCCACAGCCACAGCCACATCCACATCCGCTACGAACTAAAGGCTACACTGGCCACTGTGGCAGCAAATGGTGAAGGTGGTGCCGAAGTGCTGCCAAGCTGAAGGGGAAGGGAAGGGGAGGGAAGGGGGCTAACGAGAGGGAGAACCAGGAGCAGAAGCAGAAGCATTGGCAGCCGCCTGGGTGCGATGTCGGACAACGCGGGGCAATTATTGTAAGCGGCTTTCATCGTGCAATGATTACACTCATAGCAGAAATGGCGCGCAAGAAGAGGAAAGCGTAGAATGGCGTTGGAACAAAAAAAGCAAGAAGAATCGCCATCTTCGGAATGCCGAAGAGCAGATACTCTAGGTATTGAGTTTGCTTACTATATAGTAGAAGGCAGGCAGGCAGGCAGGCAGGTTATGTGGACATCAACAATGTCAGTTCAAAGCACCAGCAAAACTTATAGAATACATTCTTTAGTTAGTTTTATTGTTCAAGCAATCGCGATTTGTGGCAAATTTAAGATATATACTAGTACTATGTAGTGTTATGTTATTTACATTTTCTTGCAATCTAAATAATGCCTCAATGCAGATACTTGCACATCTAGTTCCAAATTATGGAAGTATTTGATGTTTTCAAACATCAATTTAATGAATACTGAATGGTTGTTTTTTTATAGTTTGTTTGGCAAATAAATCAAATAAACTTGTATTGCAATTTTCAACTTATTTTCAATCCGCTTGTATGGAATACAACTCAATTAAGCTGCTATATAGACATATAAGCTGACTGTGAAGCTAATTACTCTTCTCCTATTGGTGTTGCTTTTTGG